GTGGTTTGCAGGTCTAGAACAGCTCGCTGTCATGGTTATGGGTGCTGCTCAGTTAAGGTTTCATGCAAAGGGGGGCTGGGTGAAAAGTCCTCATTTCAGAGCTGATGCGGGAAGTGTACTGTGACTGTGCATTACATATATAATGTCCCCGGAGCTGGGAAATCACTTCTAATTTTAGCAGGTCTTCAGCTCTTAACTGCATGACCCTTAGTCGTTATAACAGCTGTCGGTGCCATTTTCCTGTCTGGTGATGACAGGATTGAACCTTGACTGACCTGGACTGGGAAGGGGGTGTCTGATAATGCTATCAGGCAAAGCTGTGTTAGTCTGGTCCCGTTGTCACCAATTCTACTGCACATCATAGTCACCTGGACTCCAGATGCCTGGGCCAACACCAGAGATCCATTTAACTTGGATGAGGTGGGGCCAGGCATGGGTATTTGTTAAAATTCTCTGGTTAGTCTACCTTAGATAAAGAACTACTCCTCTATCAACATTGTCATAGTTACAAGTGTACAAGCACATTTTTAGTAACGTTTCCATAATTTAGGCAGTTTGCTAATTTACAAGGCTAAGCCACTATGCCCCAGCCCACCTATACCAAAGTGAGTCAGAGTTGCCTAATGATTTTTTTCCCATAACAATGTAAAGCATTTCCAGTGTTCTGTGTCTTTCCCCAGACAATACAATTCTGTTCCTGACAAGGGCTCAAACAGATTTTTTTCTTTTGTTTCTATCAGTAATTAGGAAACAGTTTCCACTAAAGCAAAACAGTGGCCAATACTCAGGTTTCTCTGAGCTGGCTCCATCTTGTTATTGAAGTGTCACTGCTTATAGTACCTGCCCCTCTGCCCCAGCCTCTCCTCTACGGGCTGGAGGTGGGAACAAAACACCAGTAACAGCACAATAACGCTATTTTCTTCATTATTTTAGAGAGTTTTTTTTTTAATTGAGAGAAATTCCCACTAACTTAATTGCATTGTATATGTTTTTAAAAATTAAACCCAGGCCAGGTTTCACATTTCTTTGCTGGCCAAATAACACCTCACTTGCCCAAAACGACTTGAAGAATGAACAGCTAACTGAACAGCCACACATCTGGCTAGAACTGGTGGCTACTGAACTGGCCCCTTTGTGCTGACTGTACTGTCACCTGTACAGTTGACTCAATAGCTCCACTAGGCACTGGGGCATTATACCTGCTGCTGCTACAGCTGGGAACTACCTTCATTCAGAAGCAGACAGAAGAGAAAAAAAGATTGGAAATAATTTTTATTTATTCATTTGAGAAAACTTGTTCATATAAATTCTATAGTCACTTTAATAACCAGACACCATGTAAGTACCAAATTATCAGAAGGTGGAGGATGGGTGGATACTGACTTTGCATGTGTTTGGGTGATGCATGCATCCTGAGAAGTTGGAAGAGAAGGTGTCCTTTCAAAGACAGCTGCTCTTTATATGCAAGTAAGAGGCTGCAGGTCCCTGTAACAGCCTGCAAATGAGACCCACGTGTGGACAAAGAATAGCACTGTGGACTGACCTGCAGCTCAGGCTGGGGGGTGGAACAGCAAACTGAATCACTTGGCATGGCCTTGGTTTTCTTATCTGACATGTGGTAAGGAACTTGGCCCAGCCACTGACAAGCTACTGTGACAATCAAACGTGAAAGTGCTCCAAAAAGCACTGGGGCTCCCGGTAAGGAAAGGATGGTGGGTTTTATATAACACAACAGCACTCTGTCTCCATGATGCAAAAATCACAGCTTAACACATGTCTTACTTCTTTTATCACAGACCGAGGGCTGCTGTGCACTATGGGCTGCTGTGCACTATGCTTCACTGACCCTATAGGAAACAGAGTAAGCAGTCTCATTAGTGAGGAGTAATTGGGGTGAATAGTCCGTCATGCTAAAAAGATTTGGTCCTGAGAAGCTTTACCGTAGGAAGGATTGTGCGAGTTCTTTTGAAGCCAGTGAGAATCTCAGAGAAACAAAGCTCTTGGGCAAACGAGAGTTACTATGCGTGATGACCCTACCTGCTCAGGACACAAGGGGCTGGCATCTTAGCGCTCTAAGCAGACTCTTTCCCTCAGCTGTGGGGCTGTGCACATCCTAGGACACATCTTAATTGGCCTTGGGATGTGCAGCTGAAGGCAACTACATTCATGAGGCTGGTAGACCAGCCTGGGACTGAGACATTCCTGGGACATCTGGTTTCTCCTTTCGCTGAAACACAGTTCTCTGTGGAGGGGCAGAGACTAGAGAGGTCATGAGACACCCAGAGCTGGGAGGGCTGGGACTTGCTTTTGGCTGTATAGAGGTCCATCAGTGGCTTCTCTATAATATGTTACACTATACTTAACAGTTTAAAAATTTTAATTTATTTATTTACTTAATTTTTGTGTGTATGTGTGAGCACACATGTGAAATGGCATGTATGTCTGGGTCAGAGGACAACTTGTGAGAGTCAGGCCCTCAGTCTTATTCATTTATTTAGTTGCCTCGGAATAGACCGGTGATTCTTATTTGTGGGTCCTGACCACCCCTCTCCCCAGGGGTCGAATATCAGATATTTACATTACAATTCATAACTAGAAAATTACAGTTATGAAGTAGCAACAAAATAATTTTATGGTTGGGGGGTCACCATAACAGGAGGAACCTTATGAAGGGGTTGCAGCATTAGGAAGGTTGAGAACCACTGGATTAGACAGTGTCCCTATGCAGAGAAAATAGATGAAGGATCCCAGGGAGCTTGAGGGCTGCCTCTGTTTGTGAGAGGAATGGGGAGGAATGGAAGAGCAGGGCACAGTCAGGAAGCCCTAGTCTGCAGTGTCCAGGTGGGCGGTTCCCAGTCTATAGAAGCACCCAATGCTCCCGGTGCTGGAGGAGCACACTTACTTGTCAATACTGGATTTTGTATCTGCAATCTTGTTGAGGCTGGAGATCTTGAATCCATATGCGTTGCCTCTTTGTCCTTTATTCATATAGTTTCCAAAAGCCAAGACCACCTCCAAGAGCTGCTTGAGGGCATTGCTCCTGAACACTTCCTCTGAGCCAGATCGGATCGCTTCAAAGCAAGATGCACAGAACACACTGGTTATGGCCAAGGCGTTCGGTTACCCTGTCCTAAAACAACACATCTAAACAGACACTGGGGGTAAGAGTGGGTCTCTATGCTGTGGTGAGTATTTTCAAAACATGCAAATTAGAAGCACAGCTAACAGCTCCAAAGGTAGGAGGTTCCACAGAGAACAGAAAAGTTCCTCTCCTTTCCCAGCCCTTCTCGGGACTGACTTGCCAACCTTAAGCCCTTAGGAATGGAACAGACAGCAGAACAATTCTGTTTCCAGCCTTCGTTTGCAAAACTCCATTGCCTCTCATGGGTCAGATCAGTGAATGAGTTCTGCTGACAGTGAACTGGCTGTTGGTTACGTATGGTTTGCAGGTATTACATCAGGGATTGGACTCTTAACTCGCCTGTACATTCTGTAACTGATCTTTAGTGTCATCCACATCTCAGACATAAACGCAGCAGCCTAAACTCCACCCTTAGGAAATCCGAGGAAGGCATGGCTATGGGAGTGCTAATTATAGGTTCAGTGCTAGGAGTGGCAAATTCACTCCTTAGTACGTTCATGTGGTCAAACTGCAGTCCCTGGAGAAGCTCAGGCCATGTGCAGGAGCTCCAGAGCCCAGGCCAGGGTGTGCAAGACACAGACCTTCTATGACCATCCATTGGAATTTCAAGAGAATCAGTTGTTTACTTTGGGCACTTGAGACAAACAATCTTTCCTGCTAAGTAGTTGGACCTTACCTTCTACTTTCGGCTTCACTTCTGCCACACGCTCTGCAAACTTCTTTTTGAAGTACAGTGATTGCAGTCTTTGTTGGTAATGATTAATTCTGTAAGAGCAAGGTGGGTTGATTAGCACTCAGGATGAGAGTCCATTTCTCTCAAATCAGCATGGGGCATTTGGGTGACTGCCTGGGCCCTTGACTTCAAACTTCCCTCATGGTACCCACAGCTCTTGTGAAAACAGAGGAGATGAAAGGAATCAAAATGTAGACTCTCCACTTGGCCCCACTTCCCTCGTGTCTCTTCATTTTCACAGCCTGGCCTTTGGCAAGGCTACAAAGACTTGTCTCCATCATACAGTCCCCATACTCATTCCCAAACCTTCTTACTTTGCAAACTGCTCACCAAGCTGGTCTCCTGAAGGCAATCAAGCTTAGCGTTCCTGACAGCTCTTAGAGGAGCCAGAGAACTGCTAGCCTCTGATCTGTAGAGAAGCTACAAGGTTCTCGTTGTTGGTTGGGGTGGGTGTGTCACAGTGTGCCTTCTCATGAAGTTTCTGAACTTCATGTTTGACCTGCTCATCACAGAAGGTCCAGGGATCAGTCCCCTTCCTAATATTGTCCTGTAACTCCAAACAGACCTGGGTTTGCAGCCCAGATACGCCTCTTATTAGGTGACCTTGAGTCAGATTCCTCTGGGATTCCTTTCCCCCTGTGGGAAACATACTTCTCTTCTGGAAGTCCCTGCAGCCAGGGCTGCACTAAGGGTTACAGGAGAAAGCACTTGTAAAGATCTAGACATGCTTGAGAAGCAGCATCTATCTCTGGTGGTCACTAGCTTATCTATACTGAGGGCTGCAGGGCATAGCTTCAAAATCACAAAGTTCAGCAGTAGTCTCCAAAATGGCTAGTTGTGAGGGAATAACACAGAACTAAATCTGGCCACAGCAGGAATGGACAATGAGGAATAGACTCCCCTTGGCAGTATGTGTAGGCTCATGGCACTGAGAGAGAGGGCTCTGCCCAGGGGCTACTGCTCTTTCTCTAGTATGGAATCAGTTCACTCAACCTGGAATGGCAAAGAGACTAAGCTCACATGCCAAACCCAATTACAGAGCAGTGGCTGCCCCAGGGGGGTTCTGGAAAAGGGTTAGAAAGCTTGCTGAGGCTCCATGGGAAGACTGTCAGGACTGATTAGTGATGTTTGCCTATGTCTTATTCATTGCCAGAACCTGTGATCCCACTCCCTCCAATTTTTTAACAAACATGTCATTTCTCTCTAATTTATGACACATCTGAGATGTCAAGGTATTAGATGCTGAGATACTATCCTAAGACATCAAAGAGTTGGTGAGAATGACTATGATGGACCCAGGAAACATTAAGCACAATAAGGGCAGAGCCCAGGGGCCCAGCAGCCCAGAAGGACAGCTGTGAGCATGCTCGGACATTGCTTCACTGGGACAAGAACTTCCCCACAATCGAAGAACACATTCCACAGAGCTCATATCTGGAAAGATTTTAGAACTAAAAAATGCAGCCAGACAGGTGACTGGCCCAAGCTGTTTATCTCGAACGAAGTTTAGTAATTTCCTTACTAAGGCAAAGAGGACCTTTCATGTCCAGTGTCCTCCAACTCACCTGCTCATCTCAAACAGGAATCGGTCAGCCTTGGCCATCCGGTCCAGCTCGTGCTTATGTTCTTCCAGCAGGTCAATGTCGCTTTTCTCAGGGACAAATTTCAAAAGCTGAAAGTGCATGCATGAATTACAGCAGAGGGTTAAAAAAAATCTCTGTAGTAAGTTTTTATCCTTACTAAACATGAAATCTTAATTTTCTCTTAAGTTACAAGCTCTGCTAACTGGCAAGCAAGACATAAGGAATGGCTATTTATAGGTTGACGTGATAGCAGTTTTCAATTGGCCCGAGAATCTTTTTCTTTCTCTAGCTCCTTTCAAATAAGAACTGTTGACAATTTCCACCAGGACCTACTTTGTGTAGCTGCCTTAGCAGGACCCCTGAGAGTAAATAAAACCTGTCATTAGAAGGGTAGAAAACTGAGCTCCAGAGACAGTACCTCAGCCTGCATTGCAGAGCAAGTGTGCATAACTATCAGGAATAGACCCTCGATCTCTCTGAATCCCAGAGCCCTACACAGTTTTGTGTTGTATCACGGTGGAATGAATAATTACACTTGTGTTTCTCATTCACCTTGCTTACCTTTTCTATTTCTCTAATTCCTATCTCCCTATTGTTCCACATAGAGTTCAGGGAGAGAAACAGTGGGAATAGTGTACCTTTTATTCCAACAGTGAGAATAGTGTACCTTTTATTCCATATTTATTTTGGAGGATGAGAATGAGAAATGAAGAAATGATATTGAAAGTTGAAAAAGCTACTTCCTATGTGTCTGGCTGTCATTCAAAGTGCACATGTTTGTGTACATTTGTGTCTGTAGGGGCTGGGTATGCATGCTGTCTTCTAGATCCAGTGCTTTTTCCTCTCCCAAACTGAAATGAGGCCTTTCCCATAACTGGAGTTACTCCTTTGATAGATAGAGTTTCAGATGTTTGCTGGAACTCTTAAAAGGCAGCTGGTCTGGAGCCACTGCAGAGAGAACTGGAACTGTAGAGAAGGAGATGGTGTTCAGCTGAGACTATGTTCAGGACTGGAGAAAACCAGCACTCAGGGGAGGGGGATGGTAGGAGGAGGAGTCTATAAACGAGGCACTGGAGGTTCAGCTGGAGAAGCCTGCATAGCATCACAGGGCCAGGGCGAGAAGGCTTCACTATAGAGTAAGCAGCCAATTATATCAGACACTAACAAAACACCAAGAAAGAGAAGCGCCAAGTGTCCTATGGCTTGGGCAACACTGAAGACTGAGACTTAGCCAGTTGGGGGTGAGGCTGAGGCTGAGGGGAGGAGCTGCCAGCCCAGATGGGCTCCTGACACAAGGAATGGATGCACCAAGGCATTAGCAAAGACAGCAAATCCCTTGCCCCAGGGGGTGGAAGGGTAGAGAAAAGAGAGCAGTTGCCAAGGAGTGGTGCATGGCCTGCTGGTTAGGTATGCTAGTTTCTAGGCATTTCTGTTTCCCCAGGTTCAAATGGTGACACTGAACAGGACATGTAGTTTCATGCTCTTTGCATAGGGAACATTGTAGGGCAAGGTGAAGAGAACAAGATGGTGTTTCTCTCCACTTTATTCTGGAGTTTTATCTTCTAAGGTAATTTCAGACATCTTTTCTCCAGTTTGCCAGGGTTGCAGCTGGTCTACGATCAGGAGAACACCACTATCAAGTGTCTTCTGTGACTTCCAAGAGCACAGGAAGAGGCTGTGGAAAGCACCTTTCCCCCAACCCCCAACCCCACCCCAAACAGAGGCAAGTAACTTGCTGTGCATGGATGGTTTTCCAGAGGGATGGAGCTAGGAAAGCACGTGAGAACAGAAAAGATGGGCTCTGAGGAAGATCGGCTCACTGACCTCAGCCACAGCCTTAGCCCTGAGGTCACCAGTACCAGGCAGCATGGACTGCATGTGGCCCTCATGTGGGCTCCAAGCAGGGGTAAGGGGATGCTGAGACAGACATGTTTCTTGAAGAGAGGTATGAAGAACACCAGGCGGAGGAACATTACAATTCGGAGGGAAACGGGAAAGAGAGCGTGGGAGCTGAGCAGAGAGCAAGAAGCTCACAGAATTATCAGGAGAGACCAGGTCAAATAAGTCCTTGGCCAGATGCTGCATCCGTGGACAGATTTTCTTGTTTATTTGGAGTGTGTCTCATTTGCACTGCAAGCCCTTTTGGCAGGGCTTTTCAATCCTTTCCCCTCAAGGAGGAATTTTGCTGGATGCAGTTTCATAGTAAACAGATCCTGTAGAATTTTAAGCATATGACCTTGTAGATAAAGGCTAAAGACAAAAGGATAGAAGCAGCTTTGCACACAGTTGTCACTTCTGGTAGTGACGTGAAGGTGGGGCCACCTGAAAGCTAGGCAGCTGTATAGTGAGGGAAAGATGAACAGGGATCTGGAGACATCCCTGCATGGGAGAATACTTTAAGCTGTGCATCCACAGAGAACCATGGAAGACATGAAGAAAAAAATCATTAACATTTTGAAAATTAAATAAAATGTTTAAATGGCAGCTTGATAAGTTGTTCTACTGGAATTGTGAGGTTTTTCACCCAGGACAAGTCCAGCTGCAGGCCTGTCTTGCTCTGGATCTGTCTTGGTCTGGACCTGTCTTGGTCTGGACCTATCTTGCTCTGGACCTGTCTTGCTTTGGACCTATCTTGCTCTGGACCTGTCTTGGTCTGGACCTGTCTTGGTCTGGACCTATCTTGCTCTGGACCTGTCTTGGTCTGGACCTGTCTTGGTCTGGACCTGTCTTGCTCTGGGTCTATCTTGCTCTCTTGCTCTGGGTCTGTTGCCATCATCAAAAGAACACACAAAGACAGAGGGGCAATCTATGAATAGTGGCCTTGCCACTCAGGAAATGAGATAACCCTGTCTGTACTTTCAGAGATGAATATGCACACAATGGCTGTGTTCAGCCTGAGGTCATGGTTGCTGGTACCTATGACTGACCTTAGTTGGCCTGGCTCTGACAAATACAGACCTTAAACCTGATCACCTAAACTCAGATTGTGTCCCAAGGACAAGGGAGGGGGAAGGAAGAATAGCCAGCCTTAAAGAACTTTGAGATGGTCACCACAAAGCTCAGAACCCTTCACGTTTTAAGGGGTTAGGGTGAGAGACAGATAACAAGCTTTGGAATATGTACTGGCTAGGCTCACATGATACAGAGTGGCTATGCAGAAACGCTCCAGAACGAGTCACCACTTTAGACTGGCTGCTTGGCCAAAGATAATAAGTTTTCTACTCTGGGACACTGATGTGGGCTGCTCCTAAGCTGTGATTTACTGCCATTTATGACACAAGATGCCGCATATAAATGGAGGCATGACTTAGCTCTAAGAAATAACTCCCTTACCATAGGACAGGTATGACTGCTTTGAACAGGTGGCTGTGTTGGGATTAATGGTGGCTTTTGTGCTTGTGGGAATAATGAGCCAAGATGCAAATTTAGTAATTAATAGTTTGCAGAGGGGTTTTTGATCTCAGAGTGCTTGTGAGATTTTCAACACTCCCGAGAAATACCTTTTCCCACCAGCCTCAGCAGACTTTCATGAGATATTAAGACAATAACTGACCTGAAGCCTAGGGACAAAGTCTGAGATGGTGGACCCCAGGCATTTGGTACAGAGTGGAGGAGGGAGAGAAAGCACAGGACTGGCATGTGATGTGAGTGCCTTTAGACACCAGATAAGGGTGTTGGATCTCCCTGAGGTGGAGTTACAGGTGTTGTGAGGCACTTAGCCACTCTACATGGGTCCTGGAAATGAATCTGAATCCTCTAGGAGAGCAGTGCTCTTAACCCCTGAGCAGTGCTCCATCCACATTTGACAGCCTGTGATGTTCCTTCTCAATAATCTTCTCGAGGAACAACGAGAGACTAAAAGTCCTTTAAAGCAATGCAATTCAGAGACGACAAAATGATCTGCTAGCAACAGTAGGGTTTCCCAGAATCCTTTTGGCTGCTGATAGTCTGCTAGTACTTGGGCTCAGAAAGCTGTCTGGCAGCTCACCTGTTCTAACATGTCCTTGGGCAGATCCTCCTGTTCATCCATTGTTAGAATTGCCCGCTTGATTTCATCATTGGATAATTTCAACCTGGAGAAGGCACATTTTATTTTGTTAATAATACTGTCATGATTGCTACAATTTAATATAAGAAGACTCACTCCACTACACCAGCTGCTGATTTTCAAGTATGGTTTTTCTCAAACTCTCGGCAAAAGCTTATTTCCTGACAACATAGGAAACTAAAAATAGGATTTTGAAACAGCTTAAACATTCTTTCATGGTTCTGTAATGTTCTGCTGACACAGGGACAAGCTGTCATGTTCTTTCATTAGTTTCATCAAGGAAAGTTAGAGATGAAGAAAGTAGCCACAATGTCTCCTCATACCCAACATCCACAAATTGTGGGTGAGAGGAGAGAACTCAACCCCTGACCTCACTGCATATCAGAGGAGTACCGGGTATGCTGCAAAAATAGATTTTGACAAGCTTAGAAACCATACAGGCGAGTGAAGAGTTGAATGCCTTAATATACAAAATGAAATACATGATTACTTCCTAGATCAGGAATTTTAATTTCATTTCATTTATATTTGAGAACAGGAAATAAAAGACAATGCTGTTTGAGCAGGAGTTTCCCCAAATTTGTTTTCTCTTTCCTGCTCACTGGTTCGTGCAGGAGGTATAGCTTTCATGACACAGTGGAGATTTTAAGTAGGAAAGGATCTTTACCCTCTGCTGTCTTGGAACCTCTAAGCGTTAGTTGAGCATGTGCTTTGTATCCTAAGAGTCTTGCTGTTGATAGCCCAACCCTCCCAAAAGCTATAGTCACCTTGGAGATAAGGATACATGTCCCAATTCTTTTCAAAGGTCTGGTGCTGTCACACACAATGATGAAGGTTGGGTGAAATAATGTGGCTAGAAATGTCTTGAGAAGTGACAACAACCACACCCAGTAAATGCCACACTGTCCACTAGTCAAGGATAATCCACCTTACCCGTCATCTGGGCTGTGGTGCCACATTCACCCCTGTGCTGGGTAGAGACAGGCTGGCCCTGGCAGACTCCTCCAGGCTGTTTCAATCCCAGGACAATCACTGCTTCACAAGCATGTGCACCGGAACACGGCAGAAAATCCACATCATTAAGTGGAACAATTTAGCTAAGTTGGTCTGATGAAGAATACAGGAGATCTGTATAGAACCAGATCTCCATTGTCAAGGCTAGGCCTGGATTTTAGGACGTTACAGGTTCTTAAGTCAGTTAAAACGCCAGTACCATAGTGTGGCTACACAGGGCAAAGGAAGGGACAGTAACTCAAGACTAAAATTGCCTCTAATAAAAACCAATGTGCTAGGAAGCGTCTGCAGTCACCACCAGAAGAGCCTTGCATATTACTTCAGTACTTTATCACTAGTGTGTGCATCGGTGCAAGCCACAGCACACGTGTGGAAGCCAGAGGACAACTTCAGGGATGGGTCTCTCCTTCATTGTGGATCCTGGGGTTGAATGCTAATTCTTAGCCTTGGCAGTAGGTATGCTACCCACTGAGCTATGTCATGGGACTCCAAGTTCTGCTCATAAGAGGAAACTAAATAAATGAGCTCTGTGCCTTTTCACATTAAGCTGAGGGAATTGTTTTGAGCTTTTCTGCTTTGCATTTAAAATTAAAGAGTTGAAAACCAGAGTGAGAACAATACTCAAAGCACTGGGCTTGAATTTCACTAGCTACCCAGATGGAGTTTGATGCTGCTTGCCTTTGAAATTGTATATATTTATGCTCTTCAATTTCCAGAGGCTGTCTGGACTAAACTTCCTCTTAATGTGGCCCACAAAGATATAGGAGACTTTAATGAAAAGTCCTTAAGAAAATTTACCCATCAATGGAACACCATGCACGTGGCCTGCTGGATCAGACAAAGAAACCCTACCTCACGAGTACCTGCCCCCCAGCACAGCTCTACAGCCTGAAGTTCTTGGTGTCAGCTGTCACCCTCAGAATGAGCCTTTAATCTCTGTAATTTAAGGACCCTTCTGATTCTAGCCTGCTCATTGCTCTTACAGCTTGGCAGTGCTCTTGTTGTACAGGGTGACAACTCTTGAGGCGTCTGCTTCCACTGCCCTTTCTTGGCAGGAAGCGAACCAGTCACCTTAAAATAGTATTTAACTCCAGCTTGCACAACTTGAGTATTTAAAGACTTTGCCCAGAGAATCAGAACATTCATGGATAATTAGAACAAGCAAGGGATAGATGGATAGGTCATCTATCCATCTCGGCTCTGCTTTGGTGGGTGTAAGCCAGATCCTCCTACTTAATAAAGGAGCTTTTTGTGGTTTATGACACCCAGGTTGCCATGTCAAGAGAGGAACTGGAAAAAAGGAACAGCTGTACTTGGGAAGCAGTCATTCTGTAATACAGACCCACTTGAGTGAGTGTCTGTCTTTCTTCCTTTCTCTTTCTTTTTTCCTTCCTTCCTGTCTGCCTGCCTTCCTTCCTTCCTCTCTCCCTCTCTCCCTCTCTCCCTCCCTCCCTCCCTCCCTCCCTCCCTCCCTCCCTTCCTGCCTG